CGCTTGGAAGATATTGGCGTTCGGCTAATATTGGCAGTTCGTGTATTTGGAGATCGTGAAGGGAAAGAGCCGTACAGGTACCGTTCGGGAGTTTGGAGTGTTCCCTAGCTGGCGGTTCGCATGGTTATACTGCATACGCTACCAGACCACATTATTGCGAACGGGGAGCATTCACTAAACGGCGGTTTGTACATTTATTACTGGAGGTACCGTAACAACTGGTGGCAAGCGACGGGATGATCCTCAACGCCCAAAGAGACCACTGCAACCAGGATTAAAATGGAATTGCAATACCAAAACCTGAGAAGAGCTACCCTAAAGGATTTATTAGAGCAAAGAGGTGGACAAGCCAGTAACCTCAGAAAAAGAGATATTATTGCGTTATTGCTGGAACTGGATTGAGTACCAGCGGCAGAGGGAACCAATGGACCCAGCACAGCTGACAGAACCCCCGAGGAGGCAAGCTTTGACCGGGCGGTAAGAATCAGGCTGGCCCATTATGGTCCCAACCCGACTACAGAGACCATTGACCGGGTCATGGCAGCTGTGGAGGCCAACCTGCTTCGCCAAAGCGGTGCTGCAGCAGCCCCAGTCACAGCAAACCCGGGAGATAGAAAGAAAGTACCATTTACTGCGTTTAAAGCCTTCAGTGAGACAGAAGGAGAGATTGATGGGTACCTTGCTGATTTTGAGCGGCAATGTGCCCTGCACAAGGTACCCCTGGAAGACTGGGTTACTATATTGTCCGGCAAGTTATCTGGCCGGGCCAGCGAGGCTTTTCGGGCCATCCCTGATGAGGAGATTGGGGATTATGTGGCCGTCAGGGAAGCTTTACTCTCCCGGTATGCTGTTACACCCGAGGCATACAGGAGGAGGTTCCGAGACACTGTTAAAACATCTGGGGACTCGTACGTTGAATGGGCATGCAAAGTGCACCGCACAGCTGCCCACTGGATGGCGGGGTGCCAGGCTGTGTCCGGAGAAGAGGTGCAACAGATGTTTCTGTTGGAACATTGTTTTGACAAATTGCCAGCAGGGGTCAGAGAGTGGGTAAGGGACCCACGAAGCAGCTCGCCTGGCGGATGAGTATACCGATGCCCGCAAACTGGACAGTCTCATCAGCAAGGCTCCCGCCAGAGTGGAGTACAGGCCAGCAGCACCAACAGCAGCTAACATATATCAGCCTCCAATGAATTGTCCATCAGCACCCCCTCCATCTGCCCCGTATCAACAGCCACCCCAGTTTAATTCATGGGAGTACGCACAACCCATTCGGTGCTACCTGTGCAAGCAGCTAGGACACAAGCGACCAGAGTGCCTGATGAACAGCGCCAACCAGAACCAGTCCTGGAGGAGACCAGCCGGCGGCAATCCACGACCTCCCCTCCCAGCCGCGCACTGTGTAGAGGAAGAGGAGTGCTGGGGCATCCTGCATGAGGCAGACCCCGTTCAGGCTGCCCACCGGGATAACAGACAGCACCACCGGCAGTGTGTAAAAGTAAACGGGAAGGAGGTCAGTGGTCTACGGGATACCGGGGCAACCATGACTTTACTCCAGAAGCACCTGGTATCCGAAGCCCAACATACCGGGGACACAGTCGCAGTGCGAGTAGCCGGGGGTGCCGTGTTTCGCCTACCCGTTGCCCGGGTACATTTGGATTGGGGAGTGGGCGCTAGACATGTGAATGTGGGGGTCATGAAGGATTTACCCGCAGATGTCCTCCTTGGCAATGACTTGGCGCCCCTTGTTTCAGCCTTCGCTCCCATGGGTCCCGCTGAAGTGGATGCTGTCACGACCAGTGCCCAGACCCGTGCCGCCGAGACCGGCCCACCTGCTGCTGAGACCCAGGTAAGACTCTCTACCCCGACTTGTACCTTAGACCAGGCCCCTTTAGGCTGGGATACCCCAGAGATGTACGGGAAGGAAACCAGGGAAGACCCGACGCTAGCGAAGTACAGGGCCAGGGCCGACTCTGGGGGAGAAGGAGTAGATGGGGAGCACTACGAGTGGGTGGGGGATAGACTGTACAGGATCCCGAAACCAAGTACCCCTCCGCAGAATCGACAGCTAGTGGTACCTGCAAAATACCGGCAGGAGATTCTGCGGATTGGGCATGATGTGCCGTTAGCAGGCCATCTAGGTTCCCGCCGCACAGCTCATAGGATCACACAAAACTTCTTGTGGCCCAATTTTAACCGAGATGTGCGGGTTTATTGTAGCACGTGTGACACCTGTCAACGGGTAGATAAGCGGGGGGATCACCCAAAAGCTAGGCTTCAGTCGATGCCTATCATTGGAGAACCCTTTTCCCGCATAGCCGTTGACATTGTGGGTCCACTGGCCAGGGCTAGCCCATCAGGTAAGAAATACATTCTTACCGTGGTGGACTATGCCACACGTTATCCAGAGGCAGTAGCACTGTCTAATATAGAGGCAGAGACGGTTGCTGATGCCCTGGTTAAAATTTTCACTAGGGTCGGGTTCCCTCAGGAGATTCTCTACGATCGGGGAACTCAGTTCTGTGCTTACCCAGCAGCTGTGGAAGGTGTGCAGTATTAAACCTCTGCTTAGCTCACCTTATCACCCACAGACCAACGGTCTCTGCAAGCGATTTAATGGCACCCTCAAACAGATGTTGAGGACCTTTACTGACACTTGCAGAGACTGGGAGCGATTCCTGCCTCATCTGCTATTTGCATACAGAGAGGTGCCCCAGGAATCTACTGGGTTCTCCCCCTTTGAGTTACTCTATGGGAGAAGGGTCCGTGGACCCCTAGATCTCATTAGAGGACACTGGGAGGGGGAGACAGAGCAAGAAGGGACCCCCATAGTACCATATGTTCTGGAACTCCGGGACTGCATGGAGAAACTATCCCTGATGGTATGGGAGAATCTCCAGGCGGCCCAGGGGAGACAGAAGCGGTGGTACGATCGGGGTGCCCGACAGCGGGTCTTCCAGGTTGGGCAGAAGGTTCTAGTGCTCAAGCCTGTGAAGACGAACAAGATGCAAGCATCTTGGCAGGGCCCGTATAAAGTGTTAGCTCAGGTATGTGATACTACCTACCTTATAGCCAGCTGTTCAGATGAAAGGATTCAGCGATCCTTCCATGTGAACATGCTGAAGGAGTATCAGGAGAGACCAGAGGATGTTGCAGCAGTATGTGCCCCAGCTACTGACGACCCTGAGAACTTACCTTTACCTGACTTGTTAGAGAGGGATCCCCAGACAGACCTTACTAGTGGGGACCGGCTCAACCCGACAGAGAAGGTACAGGCAAAACAGCTTCTGTGGGAGAAGCAGGCGACGTTCTCCCAAGAACCCGGGTACACCACCCTAGCTGTGCACAAGGTCGAGACACCCGGACAGAACCCCCTACGACAACCCCCATACCGTATCCCTGAAGCAGTCCGAGAAGGAATGCGGAAGGAGATACAAGAGATGACCAGGCTGGGGGTTATCGAGCACTCAGACAGCCCTTGGGCCTCGCCTGTAGTCCTGGTGCCTAAGAAAGATGGGACCACCCGGTTCTGTGTGGACTACAGGCGGCTCAACGAGCGGACCACCACTGACGCCTACCCTATGCCCCGGGTAGACGAGTTATTAGACCGCATTGCCAGGGGGCGCTACCTGACCACCAGAGACCTGTGTAAAGGTTATTGGCAGATCTCCCTGGCCGAGGATGCTATCCCTAAGTCGGCATTCGTCACCCCATTTGGCCTGTACCAGTTTAAGGTTATGCCATTTGGGATGAAGAATGCTCCGGCTACTTTCCAGCGTATGGTGGATAGGCTCCTCGATGGCTTCCAGGACTTTGCATGTGCATACCTGGATGACATTGCAGTCTACAGTGAGTCCTGGGAAGACCATTTAGTACACGTGGGGGTGGTACTGGACAAGATTCGGGCCGCAGGCCTGACCTTGAAGCCAGACAAGTGCCATCTAGGCATGGCAGAAGTGCAGTACTTGGGTCACAGAGTAGGATGTGGAAGCCAGAGACAGGAGCCAGCCAAGGTAGAGGCTGTAGCTAACTGGCCCACACCTATAACCAAGACCCAAGTGCTGGCCTTCCTGGGGACGGCAGGATATTACTGACGTTTTGTCCCCGACTACAGTACGGTTGCCAAGCCCTTGACTGACCTGACTAAGAAGAATTTGCCTAAGCAGGTCCTGTGGTCTCCAGCTTGTGAAGCCGTGTTTCAAGCACTTAAGCAGGCTCTTGTAAATGCCCCTGTCCTGGCTGCCCCAGTCCCTAACAAACATTTTCTTGTTCATACAGACGCTTCCATGTATGGACTGGGGGCTGTGCTGAGCCAGGTCGGAGAAGATGGAGGAGAGCACCCTGTCGCATACTTAAGCAGAAAGTTACTACCTCGGGAAGTGAGTTATGCGGCAGTGGAGAAAGAGTGTTTAGCCCTGGTCTGGGCACTGAAGAAATTGAGCCCTTATTTGTACGGGCAGGAGTTTTCACTTATAACGGAGCACAATCCCCTTGTCTGGCTTAACCGGGTCTCAGGAGACAATGGCAGACTGCTGAGGTGGAGTTTGGCACTGCAGCCTTACAACTTCACCATCAGCTACCGACCCGGTAAGCAGAATGGGAATGCAGATGGGTTATCTCGGCAAACAGACGTCCCTACTCCTTCCCAGTCTAGTCATCCCCAAGTTGACACGCCAAAGGGTCAAGCCGGGTCTGCTGGAGTGTTCCACAAGGGGGGAGCCGTATGACAGACCCATCTGTATGGACTAAAAGCACTGTGTTCGTCTGTTTTGCCGTTTGCATGAATTCCCCCATTCGTATGCTTTGTTTAAGGGAATGTCTTTTTTTTGTCGAACTGAACTACCGAACGGACGGCCACCCAGAAGAGAAGTGTGCTGCTGGTTAACCTATTGATCCCAATTAGAACGTTGCGGTTAACCACAGACACTTCTCAATTAAAGCCGAATACCGGGTGGTCGTCGTTCGTATGTCGACCACGAGGCGGCGGCCATTTTAACCATGCGAAAGACCAGCGGTGTTCGACGGTTATTTCATGGAACTGAAAAGGGACACTTTTTCAACCGAACACCGCTGAAGCCGTCGACCTCCCCTTCTCAATCGACAAAAGCATACGAATGCCGGCCGTTCGGGAGATTCAACAACACGAATGGACTTAACCCAGATAGCCTTCCCATGGAGTCAATCGCATACCGAAGAGCTGTAATAGACTTTGACTCCATGGCGATTGAACTATGCGTATGGGATCTGAGCGCTATTCGCCAATAATATGCACTCAGATCCAAGCTATCTGGGGATGTGTTACATGAATGCAGTATGTTCGGCAATTAGAAAGTTATGTATTTTAATGTGTTTTATAACTTTGAGTTAAAATGGCGATTTGCCTCTGCTCGGGGAGATAATTGAATTACTTCCCAATTATCTCCCGAGCAGAGGGGAGGGAACTGTGATGCATGCTGGGAATATTGTGGGGATGTATGTCTGAAATGTCCCCATGTCCTTCTGTTATTCCAGTCTCCAATTTGGTCCCCTAGGGGAGTGTCCACCAAGTGGGAGACCTGCATAAATACCGGGCAGGTAGCCCACAGTAAATCAGTTCGTGTTTTACCCTCAAAGCGGAGCTTGGTCTCGTTATTGGGGGGATTTTATTACCGGCGCCTAGAGACTGCTTATTGGAATTATTTGCCGCTTGGAAACTATTGCCGTTCGGCTGCTATTGGCGATTCGTGTATTTGGAGCTCGAGAAGGGAAAGAGCCGTACAGGTACTGTTCAGGAGTTTGGAGTGTTCCCTAGCTGGCGGTTCGCATGGTTTCACTGTCTACGCTACCAGACCACAGTATTGCGAACGGGGAACATTCACTAAACGGCGGTTTGTGCATTTAATTACTGGAGGTACCGTAACAGGAAGACCGCCTGTCTCCACTCCCATAACATTGTCCTGCTGCTGGAGAGAGAGACCAACTGTCTCTGCTCCCGGTACGACACACTGCTGCTGGGGGGGATGGAAGACACCTTCGGCCCCCTGGAATTCACACTGCCGCTGGGTAGGAAGGGCGACACCTTCGGCTCCCTGTAATTCACACTGCGGCTGTGGAGGAAGGACGACACCTTCGGCTCCCTGTAACTTGCACTGCCGCTGGGGAGAGAGACCGGTTGTCTCTTCTCCCTTGACAACACACTGCCGCTGGGGAGTCAGAGCTACTGTCTCAACTCCCAGTGATGATGGTTGTTGCAGGGACGAGGGATCGACAATCTCCTCTCTCTGGGATGCTGTCTGCCGCTGGGGAGAGAGATCAATTGGCCACAGCCCCAATCTCCGCAATCGGAGCTCAAATTCCCATGCCGCTCGATTCTCCTCATCCAACTTGCGCATGGTTGCCAGGATCGTCTCTAACGAGGGATCCGGGCCATACCTGGTTAACCGCCTCTTTGCCTCCTCCCTGTAAGCGGCACCCTCAAAGCGATAGGTCAGGTTTGCAGTGACCAGGGGCGCTGTACGAATACTAGCGTTGCCCTCAAATTGTAATTCCAAACGTTACCGGTGCCTCTGCGCTGCTTCTCCTCGCACTAGGACGCCATCCCACCGCTGCCACCACTGTGACGGAACCGCTGGCACCCCGACCGGGTACCTTCCGCCGACGGATGCTCCTAGTGCTTTCCGAGGACTCCAAGCACTCTGTCTGACACCATAACCACTGCAGACCCCACGAACCGCCGCAGCTTGGCTGGGGTCTCGCCGTCTCCACCCACTCTGGACCCAAGACCAGGGTCCAGCTTCCAGTAGGTCGACCTCTCCAAATTCCAGAGAGCAGGAACAAGCTCTTAGCAGAGCTTAGTGATTATACCCTGGGGAGTATAGTGATTATAGCAATCCCCAGAGTGTAGTTTCTCCAATCCCCCAAACATGAGCCGAAACTGCATGAAGGTACAAGATGATCTGAACCTTTAATGGCACATACTCTGCTTTTATGCAATTCTCCCCTGCAAGGGAGACGCCCACAGACAATTATACATTACCCAATCACACAATGGTTACAGCCCACACATCTCCTCCCCTTAGCCTGAGAGGTAGCCCAATTATCAATACATTTTAAAACACACTTTTTACCCAACTTTCATAACTCTAAAACCATACATCCAATATTAATAAAGTCACATATTATTAATCAGCACATCCCAAATACAAACATACCCAAAAATCATGCAAATCCTTCCATTAGTTCAAAAGTTAGTTAGAAGTCCTTTGTGACCAAAGGAAGCATGGCTTTTCCTGCCCAAACCAGTTCCCACTGGTCTGGCAGTGTCCCTGGGACAACTCCCTGCTGGAGAACAATAGACAGGAAACGGGGGAGGGGAAGAAACACACCTTCCCATGGATTCCAATGGGAAGAAACTGTCTTTAGAAGCCAATAAGCCCCAAATAGTCTTTTTAAATGGCAATACACCCCAGGGCCATAGTCATGAGGAAGGAGGCTGGCAATCAGGCTCCTCCAAAAGCCGGGGGCAAAGGGCAGCTTGTCACCTAACAATCCAGGGACAAAAGGCATTTCGTCACAAGGGGCTCTGAGGACAGGTGTCAATCCATATCTGCCAAGTGACCCTATGTAGGAGGAACAGTCTCTATTCTGCTCTGTGTCAGTGTGTATCAGGGGGTCTGAGGACAGGTGTCAATCCATATCTGCCAAGTGACCCTATGTAGGGGGAACAGTCTCTATTCTGCTCTGTGTCAGTGTGTATCATGGTCTCTGAGGACAGGTGTCAATCCATATCTGCCAAGTGACCCTATGTAGGGTAACATTCCCTATTCTGCTCTGTGTCAGTGTGTATCAGGGGCTCTGAGGACAGGTGTCAATCCATATCTGCCAAGTGACCCTATGTAGGAGGAACAGTCTCTATTCTGCTCTGTGTCAGTGTGTATCATGGACTCTGAGGACAGGTGTCAATCCATATCTGCCAAGTGACCCTATGTAGGGGAAACAGTCTCTATTCTACTCTGTGTCAGTGTGTATCATGATCTCTGAGGACAGGTGTCAATCCATATCTGCCAAGTGACCCTATGTAGGAGGAACAGTCTCTATTCTGCTCTGTGTCAGTGTGTATCAGGGTCTCTAAGGACAGGTGTCAATCCATATCTGCCAAGTGACCCTATGTAGGGGAACCAGTCTCTATTCTGCTCTGTGTCAGTGTGTATCATGGTCTTTGAGGACAGGTGTCAATTCATATCTGCCAAGTGACCCTATGTAGGGGAACAGTCTCTATTCTGCTCTGTGTCAGTGTGCATCATGGTCTCTGAGGACAGGTGTCAATCCATATCTGCCAAGTGACCCTATGTAGGAGAACAGTCTCTATTCTGCTCTGTGTCAGTGTGTATCAGGGGCTCTGAGGACAGGTGTCAATCCATATCTGCCAAGTGACCCCATGTAGGAGAACAGTCTCTATTCTGCTCTGTGTCAGTGTGTATCATGGTCTCTGAGGACAGGTGTCAATCCATATCTGCCAAGTGACCCTATGTAGGGGAACAGTCTCTATTCTGCTCTGTGTCAGTGTGTATCATGATCTCTGAAGACAGGTATCAATCCATATCTGCCAAGTGACCCTATGTAGGAGGAACAGTCTCTATTCTGCTCTGTGTCAGTGTGTATCATGGTCTCTGAGGACAGGTGTCAATCTATATCTGCCAAGTGACCCTATGTAGGAGAACAGTCTCTATTCTGCTCTGTGTCAGTGTGTATCATGGTCTCTGAGGACAGGTGTCAATCTATATCTGCCAAGTGACCCTATGTAGGAGGAACAGTCTCTATTCTGCTCTGTGTCAGTGTGTATCATGGTCTCTGAGGACAGGTGTCAATCCATATATGCCAAGTGACCCTATGTAGGAGAACAGTCTCTATTCTGCTCTGTGTCAGTGTGTATCATGGTCTCTGAGTACAGGTGTCAATCCATATCTGCCAAGTGACCCTATGTAGGAGGAACAGTCTCTATTCTGCTCTATGTCAGTGTGTATCAGGGCTCTGAGGACAGGTGTCAATCCATATGTCAAGGTGTCAATATGTCATATGTCAGGTGTCAATCCATATCCATTGTGATTTAGGAATGTTAGGTGATTTATGCCACAGTCCAGGTGTTAGTCCCCTTGAAACAACTTTTCCATCACTATTGTGGCCAGAAAGAGTCCCTGTGTGTTTTAAAATTCGCCTGCCCATTGAAGTCTATGGGGGTTCGCCCGGTTCGCCGGTTCGCGAACATTTGCGGAAGTTCGCGTTCGCCTTTCGCGAACCGAAAATTTTGTGTTCGCGACATCACTACTAACTGCTATTCAGTCTATAACAGGGAAAAAAGTTTTTTGTTTTTAAATGCAAGCTATTGTGACACCAGATATGAGTGGCACTGTAAACTGGCAGAGTACACGCTGTAGGGCTGACACACCCGCTTTGAGACAACTAACTGCTATTCAATCTATAACAGTGAAAAAAGTTTTTTGTTTTTAAATGTAAGCTATTGTGACACCAGATATGAGTGGTGGCACTGACTGGGCAAATGGGCACAGTATCCACTGTGAGCCTGACACAGAAGCTGGCAGCAGTGGCAGACAACTAACTGCTATTCAATCTATAACAGTGAAAAAGTTTTTTGTTTTTAAATGCAAGCTATTGTGACACCAGATATGAGTGGTGGCACTGACTGGGCAAATGGGCACAGCATCCACTGTGAGCCTGATACAGAAGCTGGCAGACCACTAACTGCTATTCAATCTATTATAGTGAAATGTTTTTTATTTTTTTTAAATGCAAGCTATTGTGACACCAGTGAGTGAGTGGTGGCACTGGGCACAGTATCCACTGTGAGCCTGACACAGAAGCTGGCAGGCAGGCAACTGCAATTACATTACACAGAAAAAAAAAGACTGATGTTCTAGCCATAAAAAGGGCTTTTTGGGGTGCTGTCCTTACAGCAGAGATCAGATGAGTCCTTCAGGACTGTAGTGGACACTGTATACCCTAACCTAGCTATGCATTTCCCTATCTAATCAACAGCAGCTTCACTTTCCCTCCTCTCACTAAGCATGCAGCTTGAGAATGAATGTAAAATGGATGCCTTCCAGTAGGTGGGAGGGTCTGCTAGGGAGGGTGTGCTGCTAATTGGCTGGAATGTGTCTGCTGACTGTGAGGTACAGGGTCAAAGTTTACTCAATGATGACGAATAGGGGGCGGATCGAGCCGCGCATATGTTCGCCCGCCGTGGCGAACGCGAA